GTGTCGCAAGCTTGCATTCATTTGAAAATACTCAACATCAGGCTAAAGTTGCATGTGAAATGGTCATTTGTACAAGGTTAAACAACCTCGACATTTACAATCAATGTGATGTTGGAACAGAGCTGCTATTTCCGAATTTAAAAGTCCAAATCGTACACATTGTTATCAAGTCTAATTTACACCCTTCATGTCATGGCATGTCATGCTTGATAGTTTCATACACTGCTGCAAGAGTTGTATTGTGTGTATTTCGAGTATTTCCATCACTCCATCATATGTCGCATGTGTTGGCATGTCAAGTGTGGTGATATCAGGTCAAAACAGTCGATTGGCATAATAATCCACCAACATTCGAGTCGTTTGGTCAACCAAACAGTTGTATCATGCGGTAATATCAATATACTGCGATTGTAGCATGCCATTCATCAGACATTGTTGAAACCATTACAAAACCTGTTTGGACCAAATCAAACTGTGACGAATACCGCATACTCGGATCATCATCAACTAAACCAGGAATACACGCTTGACAATATTGGCGGTTGATGATTGAACCTGATTCATGGTTAATTCGTCGAGTGTTTGCAATGTGTTAATATAACCAGTCATATATCATTTGGTGTTGTTAACCTGTGGTTTGGTGATGGTTTGATTGCAAGTGATTCCTGAACACAACACATTGCAAACCAAGCAACTTGACTACTTGAACGACTCAAATGGCTCGATACTAACCGGAATTCAATACAATTGTTGAATAGCCCGTGTAATATCAGATCTAGTCAAGTCAACAGACAAGCCAACAGACACGACATTTGATACAACTATATACAGCAAAAATGCGTTGGATTCATTTGTGATTGCATACTCATCAATCTTGAACGACAGTGTTTGTGCAGTTTTGGATATAGGTTGTATGGATATTGCAACAAACCTGTAGTATTATAGTATGACTGGAATATACTACTATTGGATCAAACAACATAACAGTCCGATATGATGTTATATATATGTGCATAGAATGGTCACCAAACCTGATCGGTCGTGTATTAGTCATAAACAACTACCAATTAGCAACAAGTGTCATTTGTATACATTGACAGAATCACTACAGACAACACCAACAATTACAAGATCATGTGCAATATATCAAGAATTGTGATATGGTTTCAATAAACCAACAACAACTGAACAAATGACATTGCAATGATTATTCATAGAACAAGGCAATCAAACGACAACGACAATGTTAGTGACAATTATGTTGGACAATATTCATGATTCAAATATCGACAGTCAAACATTGGTTAACCAACAGTTGTACGATTATACAACTGACCCGTGTATTGGCAAGTGATCAACATCGATCCGGTTATAGTCGAAACGGTGTATCACAGAACTTGAAAGTTGACACAGTATTGTTGTGGTGTAATATTAGCAACTACACACAACTTGACATGAATGACAATGTTGATATCGAGACTGACAATGTATTACAATGTATTGGTCAACAGTGATTGCAATCAATGACAATGTTGCAGTCCGTTCAATCCATGTGTTGATTGGAACAATCATTATCCACTTGTCAGATTCAGTATGTAAATGAATGTTTTGTAACACATTTACCAATCCAACAATTGACTGATTAACAATAATTGATCAGTAATGATGGTTTACAACTCGGTAATAATTGAGTTGTATTGACCAACATTCCAAATGGAATCTGAACATGTGTGTATACACGATCTGATAGTGTTTGAATGGTTATGTAATCAAGTCAGTCGTGCATACAAGTCTGATATGGTCGTGTCAAGTCGAGACAGTGGTTGCATTACAATCAAACTCAATCTGAATATTGAATATTGCAATGTTGAGTAAATGACTTGATTGGTGTCAGTGGATGCGGAAAGACAAGAACCTGCTATGGTTTGTGTCGATATTGTGTATTTGACTGTTTTATCGACCTGATTTCAGGGCAATGATTGACAAGTTGGCACAGTTGGCACCTGCCAAAAAGACGGACAAGAATCAAGCAGTCTTTGAATACCAATCTAAAAGACTGATCCAGTGTTTGATTTCTGCTCGTATTTTTGTTCTGAAAACACTCTGTGAAACAAATCCCGATCTCAAGCCTTTTACATGGTTATGCATTCAAACAAGTATACAAACTGGTGTACTCTTTTGTAAAATATTCAAACATCTATCTAAGCTTCCTTGGTCTGCGTTTGATAAAGTCTATCAACAGTTGAAATCATGGTTCCTAAAAGACGGTCGTGTTATATTTGACGAATCACAGCATATGCCAAGTCTTTTAAAGTCGGACTATCGTTCAACAACAATCCATCAACACTGCTGGAGAGTTTGATTTTCCTCGGTCACTGTTTTCGTTTTTGACCAGAACTATTATCCAAGATGACTTCAAGAATATATGGTGCGGAACACAAATGCGAATCTGCATTATGGACTTGACATACTCTGCTGCTGGACTCAAACCAGATAATATGTTGATATTCACCGACTTCAACTACTTGAAATCGTCTGATATTTTCAAACTACTATCGATGTGTCAAAGAATATTGACCTTCAAAAAGTTTCACAGTCTCTTCAAGGTCGTCCAAGACTTTTTGTTTCATTTTAACAAATTGATTGATTCGACTGACATCAATGATTGTTATCGTGGTTATATAAAAGAAATGATGACAAAATCTGGCATGTATTCGCCCCATTCATCATTTTACTGTTTCTGGAAGGACCGAATTGACCGAGTTATCGAATCCATTGAAAAGGCTAACTCTTGTCCCGTTAAAATCAAATCGGTATCGGAGATACTTGTCAAATTGTGTATTTCGTTTTTGTTTGGTGATGGCTCGAGTATGTCGTATTCGCCAGAGCTTGATTTGGTTCAAACAGGTCTTGTAATGGTTTCAAAAGTGATTGACGGATGGCACGCTAGAATGACAGAACCCATTGTTCTTACTGCAGGATTAAACTATTTTGCAGACAAAAAGACTTCAGTATTAATGGACTACTTTGCCAATCAGCTGTTTTCACCTGTAAAAGCACCAAACTTGTCACGTTCGGAAAGGGGACATATGATGGAGTATGTAATTGCTCTCCGATTCATACAAGGCTGGTGGTTACAACCTGAGCTGAGAAAATATCTACCTCGATGGGCTATAGATTTGAATATCAAAAAACCTACTGGGATGGTTGATTGTCGCACCAATGAATCGAATGTCAATAGGTTTGTACAACAACTTCGTAGAACCAACTTTCCGCATATTGTTTTTCCACCGGCCAATGCTGGACCTGATTTGCGATACTCAGTTTTCAGCTGCAATATCAAAACGACATCAACGCGAAGCTCCGATTCAGCAATGTACGTTGGCGTTAATGAATGCAGGAAGAATATTGAAACAATGGATCCTAAAAATTGGTACAAGTCGCAGATCCCAGTCCAAGATCAATACAGAGTGAAAATCAATGGGTTACGATTTATTCATATGCGATTTGAATTGCCATATACAGCGCCATCAATGAAATCTGGTTTCAAAAGTGGTGAGGACGGAGACAATTACATAATATGTGTCGATCTGGATTCTGATTTTGCGACTCATTTTTTTGGTGATTCTTTTGTGGACCAGTACAAACAGTTTATCAAATCTCAGCTACCGAATAAATAAAATGTGCATTGGCTTACATTATTGTCATTTAAAACATAATATTGTGAATTTAGGACATGAATTTGTCAATGATTGTCAACTTCATGTATACATATTGATATGGAATGAACCAGCAACATGCAGTATTGCTGTGTGAACAAGGTGTATATCCTGATTGAACTACCAACAATGGCTATTGCACACAAAGTCACTCAATATCCTGTCAATTGTGATTGTATTCCACATCCAATTATAGATTGTAATCAGTCACAATTGCCGTGTTTGATCAAGTAATGTTTTGCATTGATCATGATACCATACATCACGATACTGCCAGATCACTGCACACAAGCCATGACCAATACAAATGCATTACTGATTGACACTGATCGACCCATAGATGCAGTCAGATAGCACAATACTGTTGGAATTGAGAGTTCTAGTGTTTCAAGCATAGTGTTGACACCATTGTGGCAACCATTATCATTAGTATAAAAGTTATATGATGTAAAACGACATACACCATATCAACTATAATATGATCAGTGATATATTTTATCGCATAAATAACCGGTTTTGTTACTATATATATTCAGTCCATAATTTGTATGCCATCATTAACAGCAATGACTTACATTTAAACTTTACCATTTTCACACTTAGATGCCCAAACTTGCAAAGCAGACCGAGCTGAAAAAGGCTCGTGGGTCTGTCAAGCGGGTCAAGCCGGAGCAGGTCTCCAAGTTGGTCAAGCAGACCAAGCCAAAAAATACTTGGTCTGCTAAAGTAGCACCAACCTTGCAAGACGTTGCAAAGTTGGAGTTACTTAACCAACAGCGAGACCTGCGAGCGGCGCGGCGGCGCAACACGAGCAGTGCTCCTGTCATTGATACTTGTATCAAGGAGCGATCTTCCAGAAAACGGAAGATCAACTGCGAGGTTGACGCAGATCAACCCCATCCTCCGCGAAATCCAAAGCGGAGATGGATGATCTAAACTTTGAACTTGAAGCTTTTGGAAGGAAGCTTCAATTCCACCTCCACCACTATCTACCCTTCCACTATACCCTATTGATACCCAGTTAATAACTTTTAAATACCTGTTAAAAATACCCTATTGATACCCAACTAATACCTGTTAAAAATACCCACTAATACCCTTTAAATAACTTGTTAAAAATACCCTATCCTAATATCTTTTAAATACCTTTTAAACAAAACCATTAAATTGTTTTATAAAATCACTTTGAATTTAAAAAAGCTTGGTTTAAACACTCATTTGCCACATGGTGTTTAGTTTCCATTTTGTTGATTCTACCGTCGTGTTTCCACAACTTTAGACTGTTTGTGGTTCAATCTTGTTGTATCTGCATGTCTATTGGATTGTGTTGATGAATGTGTAGATTTCAAATTTACTTTGGTTATAGCGTATTGTTTAGAGTAGTTTAGTACATTGATGTGATATTTTCCGCACATTCATGTTGGGTTGCATCTAGATGGTTAGTCAATTCAATGCATTAGAGCATCTCAAAATACACAATAGTATGCATGCAAGCCATCAACCAATGCAAATGTATTCATTGCAAATATGGTGCATCAAACACAAATTCAAGTAGACTCTAAAACGTCATGTGTAGAGTGCGGTACACTTCAGATACCAAGTAGAGTGAACCACAAATAACAACAATACAATCGGTGTTACTAGATGTGATAACGTTCCACGCATCTGCAAAACTGTCAAAGCATTGTGATGGCGTATCGCCTTGAATCAGTGTATCGGCTACATTTGCAATAATACGAGTATCCTCTGAATGAATCCAAGGCATATCAAGTGGTTGTGCAAATGGAACGACAGAAACACGATCTTGGGGTTGAACAAGGCATGAAAGTGAATTATGGATATCTTTTCCACTAGTAAATCCAACAATCCAATGAACATGAGCAAGTGATGGCATTGCGTTTCGTTGGTGGTTGACGTAGTCTGCAAGAACTGCAGCAGCCAATGGGTTGTGTGCACCATCAAGCAAAACACGACGATTCGTAGGTGGATCTGAAATGGGCAGATTTGAAATGGGTAGATCTGGATGCTGAATCCACTCTAGTCTACCAGGACATGTTACAGAATCAAACCCATTGATCACATCAGATGCAGAAATAGTATAGTTGTGCACTAGAACAAGGGATTCTAATGCAGCGAGAGCAGCAGCTATATTATCCAATTGAAATGAGCCTGGCAGTCTTTGAACGAGTTGGAGTTGCGTATTACAAAACGTAGCGGATACTGATGGATAGATATTGTTGCCATCAGAAGAAACCACACATACTGATGGTAGAGGATGAATCTGACACTGTGCAGCTGATGCATACTGTTCCAGTAGAAGTTGCACATTGGATTGGGGTTGACGAGCAATAACAGCAACACAGTTTTCAGGCTTGAAAATACCAGCTTTATGAGCAGCAATTTCCAGCACAGTAGTGCCCAAGAATGCAGTATGATCGATTCCTATAGCAGTAATGACAGCAACCAGTGGAGATGGAATGATATTGGTTGCATCCAAAAGTCCTCCTAGCCCGACTTCCAGCACAACAATATCAACCTGCAGCTGCCGTATAACCAAAAACATGAGTGCAACAAGTTGCTCAAAAGGAGATGCTGTTGGGAGTTGATGTTGCTCAGGAGAGTTGTTTCTTGTAACAGCGATAGCCTTCATAGCCATCTGGACTTGTCTATGAGCTGATTGATATTGCTGCAAGGTGATTGCCTGACCATTGATTCTAATACTGTCCCTTGGATGTAGCAGATGGGGAGATGAGAAACTAGCAGTCTTCAAGCCAGTAGCAGCCAAGACACTGGAGATGTATGAACAAACAGAGCCTTTTCCATTAGTTCCAGCAACATGCACTACTGGCATACCCAAATGTGGGTTGTATAGCTCAGCCAGCAGTTCTCTCACTCTCTCCAATCCAGGCTGAATAACAGGAGCCATGACAGATTGGTAATATGCAGTAAGGAATGCTCACCCCTGGCGGAATCACTCTCAACTTTAATACTATTTATTCATGCTCCAACTGCTTGTCCCCACTCAGTCAATGTGATGTTGAATGTCTTTTTCAATAACCCATTCTTGGATTCAATGGGATAACTGCCTGGTCCTGGTCCTGGCACTTTCTCATGCTTTTCTGCAAATCGAGATCCCTATTGCATTCATAATCAACATGTTATTATCTATCCAATCTGTATCAAAAAGCTTAAATGCAAGTTGTACCGTTGATAGAAACGCGCCAACATGTCGGCGTATTTCCTTGTGATCCACGAGCACTGGATTGTATTCTCCTGGACCTGGCATTGTACTCGTCACTGGATTCATGGTTAATTATTGTCTAAACTTATTCCATGCACATCAAACTTGCAAGTCAACATCTTTACAACTCACTTGGAAACAGTTCTCTTTTGTTCTGACTAGCTAGCACTCCTGTGTTTTCAATCCTTCCTTTGGTTTTTAGTGCTTGAAATGAATTGATCACATCGTATGCTCCTGGAGGAGGAAGATCTGCAAACCATCCATTTTGTATTAATATCTATGCAATAATGTCCATTCATCACACTATTCCTATTACCTGAAGTAGATTCTGCAAACCGCTCTGTTTGAGTTCCAAATATGACTGAATGCACTTTTGAAGCTGGAAATTGCAAATTTCCAAAAAATACTTGTGTCATGCCACTAGGATGTGCTATTTTTTTAATGTGACTGTGTTTTTTGCGACTCTCTGTATGCTCTTTGAGACTCGGGTTTGCAAAACGTGAATGATTGTTTGAGTTTTCTAATGGATCGTATGCTCCTGGACCTGGAATTGCAATCTTTATTACACAAATGTTATTCCATGTTGATGTGTTTCAAACCGTCATTTTAAATCATATTACACTTACTTGTCGCTTTTCGACAAACCGTTCTGAAATAAATCCAAATGCTGCTGGTCGAAGTGATACATCTAATGCTCGTTTTTGAACTTTTTCAAAAATACTGTTGATCTAGAAACAGATTCGCATTGCAAAACATCAAGTCATTCTGTATTGCCTAAACAGTCGGCAGTGCATGCTATTACAATGTTTAAACCATACTAAAATTGTACCTACTTTTTCAATTTCATACGATCCAACGGCAGGAGCTTGTGATGATTTAAGCAATCCTAAATGATCAAACCGTTTACTGGTAGATCCAAATGGTTGTGGTTTGTGCGAATGCGGCTGTCAAATTTACAGGGTTAGAGTTAGCTTGGATTAAAACATCTAATGCCAGTATTTTACATACCTTTAGCTGGCTTGAATACTCAGGATAGTAAGCTCCTGGACCAGGCAGTTTTATAAGATCCTGATTAATATAGGTATGATCGGCTTTTTGACCTTTAAAATAGTAAAGTACTAATCAGCACATTTTTATATACAGCCTATTGGCTTGACTACGTGCCATCTTACCACCAAACCGAATTCTGTTTTTTGGTTGCGCAAGTTTTTCAGTCAATGGTGCCTTGATATTATAAGCTCCTGGACCAGGAACCCCTCTTTTGACTGAATCTGCAACAATTTCGTCTGTAACCCGCCTGCATGGAGCGAGTGTCATAGCAGCAGAACCGGATCCATTTGACTTTGTATTAAGATACTTTTCGCTCATGAGTGGATTGTACCTATTGGGTCCAGGTGCTTCAGTGGGTTTGTAATGAAGACGATCACCACCTTTTGTGAATTTATGTCCTCTGGATTCGTGTTTTGCCTTTTCGGCAAACGAAGACAAGTATAGGGGTTCATCCTGATGATAAAAGAATAGTTAGTTGTTTTTGTTAATATATACCAATGACCAAATGTTTACCTCGGTAATCTTTTTTGGTGGTTTACGAGGCATTAAATCTCCATCTATTGAAATTGTATTGGTTTGATTAGCTTGTCAAAATACAATCTATTCAACATTGATGACTACATAAGCTGTGTTGTGTTACTACCAGTGTTTTCTTTGTATCCAAATGCATATCGTCCAGCAGGAATACTTGGAGGAACATATTTTCGTTTCCAAACAATATTTCCTTGGTGTTTGTTTGAGCAATGATCATTGCCAGAATGATTTTCGCTGTGATGATCCTCGTCATGAGAATGATTGGTTCTTTGAGAAAATGATACACGTTTTGCTTCAGGTCCAGAAAGCGTCTCAGTTTCCAGATCCGCCACTTCATCCATGTCAGTTCCTGCAACATGGCGTTGAGAAAATGCTTCTGTCGAGTTGTTTTGATCGATTTCTGTACGACTTGTTTTTTTAATATATTTAGGAGCACATGTTGGATTGTATACATCATTGCTAGATAGTTCCACTCCAACTGGCTGTTGCATTAACGAAAGTTTATGGATATTGGGTTTACGTGTGCGCGAACCGTTGTTTAATTCATGAGAGCTGGATTGTAAAGAAAGACTGATGTAAGCACCAGGACCAGGTGTAGGCGAAGCATTTTGCATAAACCGATTGGAGCGAGATCTACCAAAAAGGGATGCAGGGTCTTTACGATGAGTAGCACATACGCCCAATTCATTGTCATATGTACCTGGAGCAGGTCCGTTGATAATAAAAGTATCAAAATATGATTTACGTGGTGACAGTGATGTGAATGGGGCGTATCTAATGTAACGATATTTAGTTGGTCGATACACGTTAATATATTTGATTCAAATTCAATATAGTCATACTATACAATGCACTGTCTACATTACATACCCATCATTACCAACTAGTTTTCCAGCAATTAGTGTAGTGTCATCTGCAGCGTAACATCCAGGTCCCAATCTTGGATTTGCATGATCCTTGTCAGGCTGCAGGAATTTACGTTCAGATTTAGAGTACATAAGTTTGATATTACAACTCACTTGAGATTTTGACAAATAAAGATGCAATTCAATCAAGCCAATCAGATATTAAAAAAACAATGTTTATGAATAACCAAATAAAGACTGATCGATGTTGTTCTTGCTAGTTAAATAAATATAAATTCCAAGTAAATTTGGAATAGCAAAAGTCACGAATTGCAAGCAAAAGTCGCGAATTGACGACAATTGAGTTTGATACAGTTAATATTCACGTAAAATGCAACAATAAACAAGAATAACAAAGCGTATACTAAACCAGTCTTTCCGTGTGTTCTATATAAAACTAAACAAGTGATGACATTTCAGTTCCAGTAAAACCCACACTTGATCAATCTTTGATTCTTTTTTTTTATTTAAATTGAGTATTATGACACTAGACAGCATGAAAACAACGATTACATTCTTGAAATATGCAATATTTCTGTTGAACTAGAACGCGAATGAATTAGTTTTCAAGAGTTTGTTATCAAGCCTAACATCAGAATGACAAACTTGAAAGAATTTTTGATTCAAACTTTGATTTGTACAAAAGTTGAGTTGAAACAATTTCAAAGACAATTGGTTTTGCGTAAAGACAAGTGACAAGTAAACGATTCTTTATTAATCTCGAGTATTGATTGACAAGTCAATTGACAAGTCGATTGACAAGTCAAGCAAATATCAGACACTTTCCTTGACGATCCACAGCTCAATTCCATGCATTCGAGCAAGCCTTTGGATAGACCTTTACTTCACCCACAACAGTCTTACTCTAGTGCAAATCACAATTCTGTGCTAAACCGTCGTCGTAGTGGTAGCAAAGGCAGCACCACTTCTAATGGAAGCGTGAGTTCCTTCCAGCACCAACAGAACGACGACCCAAACAGTCCTTTGTCTGGTTCTATCTCTACCAGTATGAATACCGCATTGGCTGGGCCAAAACATTCTTTTATCGATGCCAGTAGCAAGGATAATACTGCTGGAAACTCAGCTGCGTCATTGGCTGGATCAGGTAAGGATTTGACAATGACGACTGTCATGCATGTCCCAGAATCTGACTAGTAAAAGTGATCATTAAAGAATGCTCTCGATTCGAGTGCAAATGTCCTTTTTGCAGGGGTCATTTTTGGTGTAGTCTTACAGGACCAGAATGGTCCTGATTTAGAAATACTTGTGCATTGGGGTTTTGATGAGTTTAGACATTCATATCCAGTGCAATACTATCATGACAACTATATGAAAGCTGACGATTATTCAATTCTTGTTCCAATTCATTACAATATTATACAGTCACTACAACTACTGGCACTACGAGTAGATTTGCCAATGCTCCTCCGCCTCGCATGCTTTCTCGACGTCCACCACCATCTACAGGATCCTTTGCACGTCCACCCACGTCTACATCTGGGTCTGCCGCCCAAAGACATTCTTCAATGGCCAGCAATACAAAGAGGAATCCAATCGATGCGACGGGTGTAGGACGCGTTGTGTCTGGCTCCACGCAGTTTTCAACCGAAACTGGATCATTGGGTTCGGTTGATGGTGCTAAAAAAACTGTAACTACTTCAAATATAACATCAAACCATGCATCGTTTTTTGATTCGTTTGGTCTTGGTTCTACGACCACTGTTCATAATACTAAAACTAGCCAGGATCATACTGTCCCTACTAATGGATCACACTCACCTACTCGTGTAACAAACGTTAAGCCCCCTACTGGTCCTTTGCAGAAAAATATGAATGCTCAAAAATTGATAGATGAATTTGGGTTTGATCAAATCTCTTCTTCGCAACCTGTAGATCACAATGTGTCTTTGACACGCACTGCTGGTGTGCAATACCATCAAGAAAGTTCCAAACACAACCATCAGCAGCCTAAAGTCATTTCTCCAAAACCTCCATCTCCTTTACCCAACCAAACTTTTCAGTCTGGCATACCTCTTCTAAACGCGTCAGTCACGGTTGCTGGACCTCCATTAAAAAGTCCAGCGTATACCAAGGATGAGCATCATCATCAATTGCAGCAATCACAGCCAAAAGTTAACGAATCTACTGTATCAGCTTCTTTTGAACCTCCCCCTTTGCATAATATGTCTACTACTGTTACTACTCAAGAAATCAAACCTAAAACTACTTACTCTTCATCACCTCCAATAGAAACTGCTGTATTTAATGTTGTATCAGAGTCAAGTGGTCCAGCCATTGTTCCTCTTGAGCATGAGGTTTCTGATGTACAACAACCAGAAAATGCATCTTTTTTTGACGAACATCATCGTAACCTTGATTTGCAAGATGAAAATCCATTTAATGCTGCAATGCAATCAAATTCTGTTGTGCATGGCGTGTCTTCCCAGTCTATCCAGACAAATTCAAAACACTCCAACCAATTGGCTCTATCACCTAATCGCTCATCACCAGTAGACATGTCAGCAAACCCTAATGGTAAAAATTTGGGTCCAAAGAATGGTGTTGTCATGCAAAATGACACAGAAATCAACCACCACACCTTTGATGACATTGATACTCGCGATCGCCCTGCTGGGTTTTATGATTTTGCTCTTGGAGGAACATTGTTTACCAATTCTACACATCATGCGCCAAATGATTCGCTGCAGTTTAATCCCAATCATAATGACGTTGGTGCTTTTAGAGCAACTCATTCGAGCGATGTGCAGAATTTAAATGATTTGGATGATCTAGTTCTTGGATCCGTTCCTTTGGCTGATGTCAACAAACAACAGTCATCACATACAGCAGGAATTCCTTATTCTGATTCAAATGTCGCTTATCCAATGTCTGTTACTTCACAATCGTTGGTCAACCACTTTATTCCCAGTGATATCTCTACTAGTAATGCGGAGTTTTCACATCAGGTACAACAACAGCCTGCTTTTGAGTCCAATACGATTGATCAGTACGGTTCTTCTATGCAACCACATAACCAGCAAAATCAGAATCAAGATTTTCAGCGTTTATATAATAATGCACATGCAGATGATGGCTCAATGGAGGGTATCGCGTCAAATGATGATACCATGATTGATTCTCAGCAGCATTTTGCTACTGATTTTGATTCCAACACGCATAATGGTGTTGGTTATGAGGATTACGCTACTGTACATGGCAGCGCTACATTATTTCAACAAAGCGTCGAGCAGCACCAAACTATACAGCCTGATTCATTTGATACACACAGTCAGAGTTTGACTGAGCGTAATGATTTGCATTCTTTTGGACATCTGAGCAGTGCGGACATTCAGCAGCACGAAAATATTTTACCCATGCCTATTGTACATTCAGTATCCAACTACGAAGGTACTGCGCATACGACAGAGAATGATGGTTACATGTCTGCACCGATTGTTGAGCCACCTATTCCAATAGCTTGGGCAGACGAGTCTCAACGTGAAAGTCTTTCTACAAGCGTTGAACATAATTCTTTGGCTGATCTTGCTGATTCTGCTTCTAATCCTTTTGGGTTTGGAAATCAATATAACGGTATTGATCCGTTTGGATTTGTACAAGGGAATGTTCAGCCGATTAATAACGCAATCTATGACCAGCCAACTGATAACACGATGTATGGTCAGACGGTTGATAACACAATGTATGATCAGACGGTTGATAACACGATGTATGGTCAGACTGTTGATAACACGATGTATGGTCAGACTGTTGATAACACGATGTATGGTCAGACGGTTGATAACGCAATGTATGACCAGCCAGCTGATAACGCAATGTATGCACAAATTCACGATCCCAACCAGCAGCAATTCTATGGTCAAGATCAACCTAATAACTTTGATCAACAGCAACAGAACTTTGACCAGAGGCTTGGATATGGTGAGCCACAACAATTTCCTAACCACTCTCAAGGATTGGATCATCAACAGTTTTATGACCAACAGCAATCATTTGTACCAAATCTTCAACATCAAGATTTATATCAACAACAGACACTAGATTCTCAGCAACAGTCGTTTGATCAGCAGTTGGTATATGATCAGGAAAATCATCAGCAACAGAATATGCCCGATCAACAGAATCAGGTAGAATATAACCAGTCAACCAATACTCAAGGACAAAATGAGAATGCATATGGCTGGGATGGAGCTTTTATGCAACACCAGAATGTTCAACAGCCAGTTGACAAGAAAATTCAAGATCCATATAGTTTTAGTACTCATGACCATTTGGTACGACAGCCATCACCTAGTCATGTTGAGCAATACCATCATGATTTTCCTAGCGAACCCTATAACCCATCAGCCCATATGCCATTGTCTGAGGCGTCGGCCGTTCAATCAAAATCTTCACGGCTATCTCCAGCACCGCCGTTAAGTACGACATCAGTAACATCTGGCTACAGCAAATCCAATAATCATATGGCTCAAAATGCGCTTTCCACCTCTCCAGTTTTGACAAATGCATTTGAACATACTCCTGTATCGACTACGCGTCAGTGTCCATCTTGTCTATGCGAATGCAAAGCAACAGCCAAGTTTTGTGGTGAATGTGGGTTGTCCTTAAAACAGATTGCTCATGCAACGGAACATGAGAAATCTGTTGTTGAATACGCACCTAATCCAGCTCAAACTGGATACGCTACAGATCATACTTATCAACAATCAGATTACTCCCAGGTGAACAATGAAACGGGGGTTTCATATCAATTTGTACCTGATGTAGGTGTTTCTGGTTCATCGAATATGCCACATTTTGACGAACATCAACAGCAACAAAACTATGCAGAGCCGGCCCAGTTATACCACGGACAACAGTCTCAATATTCTTACAACGGTTATGATCAACAGGAACATTCCAACTATGACTATTCCAACAACACCTATACCGATCCTCACGCACAACATGCTCAGGCCATATCGCAGTCTCCTGTACAAGCACAACAACCCCAAAAACCTTTGGAATTTTCAGACCCTCTTAGGCGTCATCGCGGTCATGTTTTTGCCTCGTTCGGGTTTGGTGGTAAACTTGTTGTCATGCGTCCAAGACGACAAGTTTTATACCTTACCAGTAACACCGGACTTCCAACAGTAACGGAAAAATCTTATCCAGGACCCATTTTGACCATTAATGTCAAGAGTATATTGTATTCTGGCATAACCAAGGAGATTGAAGTTGCATTTGAAGGCAAAGGGCCTCTGGTCTGTTCGCGAAATATTTGGAACAAGAAAAAACTCATTTCGCACCTTGACAACTGTTTTTTAAACTCTGAAAATACCGTCGCCTATCAAAGCCAAAAAACACTACTATGGAAAATGGCAAGACTTGCGCTTGAACAGGATGGGGTCATGCTGGGATCAGGCAATCAAGCAACTGAATTATCAACAGCACAACAAATACGTACAATTCTTGATACTAAATCTACCAAGCCGAACTCTGGACAGCACAATGATCCTCACTTTGAAATGCATGCTATGCTGCTCGAGGGTGATAGAAAGGGAGCATGTCAAATTGCTACAGCCAATTTGATGTGGCCACATGCTTTGATTATCTCCAGTCATGTGGATCGTCAAACTTATGCCGATGTTACTATGCAATTTTCACGATCTGGCTTGCAAACTCCTGCCACCAAGCCGCCACATGGTGTTCCACTTCCCGGTATCAATGTAATATACGGTCTCTTTGCTGGTGCTGGTCCGAATGCTATTTATGAATTTCTGCCTGGTCCATTTGGCCCTGAGAACATGCCTCCAGAAGAATACATTGATAGATGGCGATTTATTCTTTCTGTTATTCTTGCAAACCGTACACCTGGTGACACAGATGCTATTTTAGCGCTTGGTGATCAATTGGCAACCTATGGGTTAGTTAATGAAGCTCATACTTGTTTCCTGGCTGTTGGTGCAGGACGCATGCTGACAGGTTCTGATACGCTAAATTCTGGAAACTCGAAAATCATTATGCTTGGGGCCAATCACGTTTCTCAACCCACCACATTTTTTAAAGACATTGATGCTTTCCACATTACTGAAACATTGGAATTTGCACTTACTCTTGGAAGTGGCGGAATTTCAAACGGATTCCCACATTTCCAGGCCTACAAGTTTTGGTACGCAACGTATTTATCTGATCTCGGGTTTCAGAACCTTGCATTCAAGTATACAGAGGGTATTGAGCATTTTATAAAAACCTTTAAAAATGGATCTCCATATTTTCATCAAACTTTTTGCAACAAGCTTTGCCAGTTTACCGATCAGCTACTGACTAGCATGAGTTCTTTTGAATCTAAAGCTGCAGCAAAAGATGCAGATGATGCATCTTCTGGCGGCTGGCTAAGGAAGATTAGCAGTAATCTCACTGGTGCGGCATTGGGTCGTGGACTGGAGCAATTTATGAACAACGCTGTTGGTGTAGAAGATGATATCACGCAACCTGTGAAACCTCAAGGACCTATGTACCCGACCACATCACACACTGATGGACTATTATCTACTCAATCGTCATCCATTCCATCACAACCATCCTTGGCTGGTAATATGAGTGAAGTTACCACCACTTTGTCTACTACAACAGAGTTTTTTTCAATGATGCCTCAGATTCCTATTGTTAAATTAAGGCATACTCAGAGTAATCCGACACATCTTTCTACCTCTATGACCAGCACTTCATCTATTGGTGTTCCAAGTACTTCAAATGTAGTTATGCCGTTTGTTTCATCAGCAGCTAATGATATATACCAGCATCATCCTAGCAACGTATCTAGTACCGGAGAGCATGCTCCACTGGGATCTGTTTCGTATCCAACATATGGTATGACTCAACCAGATTTACATCAGACTTCTCAATTACCCCCAATGAATGCTGGTCATGGACCATACGCGTCCAGCTTTTCCCATACTTCACCTGCACTTTCTTATCATGCTGATCCTACAGAGACTCGGCAGGAATTACAGCAACCTTCATATATGGAGCAAAATCAGTACGAGATGCAAACAGGCGAGTTTACTGGAAACTATGATTATGCTGCCAATTACGATACATCTGCCGGATATCCTCAAACTACTTCATATGATCAAAGCACCGAGTATGCTGCTAACGCTGTACATGAACAAGGTGCAAATTATGAACAGAATGCCAGCGCAGGCTATGGCGGTGCTGAGGTGTATGAGCAAAATGCAAACTATGGATCGTATGCCGATACTGGCGATCAAACTACGAATACAATGCATGCACAGGACCAGCAGCATTCCCAAAACAATGGTTATTACAATTCATATCATGATCAAGATACTCAACAGCAATTTCAAAACGAGACTCATTGGAGTTCATATCAGGATAATCAAAATGGCCTGCAACAACATCAGGCAGATACTCAATGGAATAATTATACTGAAGATCCACAGACTTTTCAACCATCCCAAAATGACTCTCAATCTATTTCTGCTGCTAATAATCAAGAATCTCGAGATGATAAACCTCCAAATGATACGCACTGGAGTTCTTACCAGAAAAATGACTATAGCAGTAATGGCATCCATGAAGATACCAATCATAATCAACCTCCACTAACTGGACCTTTCTTTGGTGCATCACAAGAATTGCCTGGTCAAACTTTGCAAAATGTTTCTAAAAAAGCAGTTGATAATTCATCATTTGTTCCATCTTTTCCCTTGGCATTCCCACCTCCCGCTAATAGTACTGCTGGTGCATTGCCAGCATTCAGTCCCGTAGTACCTCCCGAACCTGATGCTGTTGACGATTTTGGATTTGACAACAAATCAATTCGAAAAGCCAAATCTGCATTTGTTTTGCGACCTTCATCTCCTCTTAAAGCTGGCGAAAATGCTCCTTCCGAACCGGTTCGTCGCAATTCTGGATCTGAACAACCTACTGAAAAAGACAAGACGAGCCCAACTCCAGCAGGAACTCCAGATCCGGCAGGTGGGGCCCGCAATTCACGAACTATCTTATCCTACTTTGGATCTATGTTTGGTCGTCCATCTAAACCTGATGATAAAGACTCTGCCACTCAAGCGTTTCTTCCATCTGGAAATGCATTGGTATTTGACAAGGATCTTAAAAAATGGGTTACCAAGGGTGGTGAACCAGTTGGTGGACCTGAGAAACAATTGGCACCACCTCCCATCAAACATATGGCTGAAACGGGTGCACCGACTGAGATGAAGCCTGCCATGGGAGCACCAACTCTTGGATCTGCTGAAACCCCACCAGGTCCAATGGGGCCAACATTAAATTCCAAACCCTCGACTGGATCACTCGGTGCTAGTCGTCGTAGTGCTCGAAGTAGATACGTCGATGTAATTAATCCAAATGCTGCCAAAGAAAGTGTTCCTGCTATCAATTTAGCTTTACCAACTCGTTTTGGAATGCCATCGGAGCAATCTCAACCCAAAATCATGATGCCTCCCTTCCAACAACAAGCTAATGGGTCTACATCTAGTTTCTATGATGATTTTGTCAAATCAAACGACTCGGCTGCAATGGAGACTCAGCCTACTTCTAATGATCAAAGCGTCACACGCGATAATCAACAAGATTTACCTGTTTTGGATGGCCAGCATCTTGCTTCAACCGAAAAGCAACACCAACCACCTTTTATGGCACGTATGGCTGATGTGCCAGCTCGAATATCCTCGGTTCCCCCACTTGATACGTCCCATCCTCAACCTCCTTCAGCTCGTTCTTCAAGCTCATTGAGTAATCACCCTCAAAACATAGCATCAGCAAATCGGTCTTTTCACTCTTTATCTAGCCAGCCTTTATCGACTGTCTACATGTCCAATTCTGGAGTGCAACAACCTCATCATCCCAGTACATTTTCCGAAGTCAACTCTTCTGGCGAGTTTCAAACACAGCCTGGAATGACTCGACTAACTCCTCGTCTAGCTAATCGGGTTGTTTCAAATAGCCGCCAAGGCACACCACCTTCTGATCTTTAAATGTGCACATTTGGCCAGGTTCTAAACCCGATTCATTGTATTGGTTTCTACTGTAACAAGTATTTTTACTTGATCAATATATTTTTCATTCCTTGTTCTAGTTGTTTTGGAATATGATGTATGCAATCTACTAAAGATTTTTCTTATTTGATATCGATAATCGATTTTTATTGAGCATAAGTTTAGGTTGGAGTATTAATAATGAATGCGAATTAATCATGTGTAATATTGAAGTTAAAGCGTGGTAGTGATGAGCATTGTAAAGCCAGTCTACAATAAACTGGCTTTACACGATACACTTGAGCACTATCGAATAAGAATACATTGAGCTCTTGATAGAGGATTCTCATTGATCCCGCAATTATTGAACAATCAGTCTTGTCTTGTGTGTCTTGCAAAATGTCTCGGCTAATAATGGCGATATATTAACACACTGACGAACAAAAATACAGCCAACGTTTGGACAAGCCAAAGCAAATGCCTCGATATCATCCATGTCAATATCTCGCGACTGAAAAATGGTCAACGAACCTAAACCAACAAATGTTTTGGCAATATCCATAACTGCACGAGTAGGAATTCCTTCCGAGTACAAGTTTCCCGAAACAACTAGATCTTGAAGTAGTGGACAACATTGTGAAGTGGCCACCAATGATATAAGAGTGATATCACCCAACAATGCGATATCTAAAAACTGCATGTTGGGTGAATGTCGTATAAGCTCTACCATTCCCCTATCCGTGATACTATCACAATGACATATTGTAAGAGACCGGATATCACATTGACGACCCACCTCGCAGATGGATAAATCGGTAATGTATCGCATTTCACCTACGCAAAGTGTATGAAGCTGTGTATGTTTACTGATTGCAATGAGAGCAATATCAGATACGTGTGGAAGACGAAACATTTCCACGGCAGTGATGTTTGAACAAGCTTGAGCCAAGAGAATGAGTGATGTATCTGTAATATCAGTACAATCGTAAAGTCGGAGCGTGGTCAACGTTGAGCAACAAGATGCCGTGGTAGGCCATACAAATGATGCAATACTAATATCGCCCCGATTAGATTGTGTAGATGCGAGTTTGAGGGTGGTGAGTTGAGTGCATTGTGATGCGATATACGATAATGCACCGTTTGTAATACGATGACATTCATCAATACATAGACTGACGAGTGATTTTCCAATATAATTAGCAATGGCTTCAATCGTTGCATCTGTGAGGTGTCGGTTACCCGCCAAGATGATTGATGTAAGCTCAGATCCACATTGGCGTGTAAGTGTTTGAACATGTATATCCTGAATTTCTCTACAATAGCTCAGATCAATATGATGAACATGCGTAAGCAGTGGAATGAGCTGTGACAGAATATGTGGTGATATAGTGGTTCGTATTTCAGAAAGCACCAAATACCAGACAAATCGCGCTAGATAAGGTTTAGCAACTAACATCTGAGTGAACTTTCGTAGAGCCCAAACTGATTGAAGTCGGGGTGATGTGTACAGTGGTCTAAGTGCAGCTTGATACCATATTCTATTAACTAGACAGCATGAAAACAGCACTCCTGACTTGTCTGTAAGAAATTTGAAGATTTCAGGCAAGATATCTGGAATAATACGGATCATGCGAGGGGAACAAGAGCCAAGAACAAGAGTTGCAAGTGTAGACGGTTGTAAACTATGCTTCTGAGAAGTTGAAATTGTTGTGAATACCATACAGATGAAGTTGTATTGGAATACAAATTAGGGTTTTTGAACAATGTTGATATTCGCTTGTGTCGGAGTTGATACTGGTCAGATATCACTCTAGATTTGAATGTTAATGTTGGGTAAATGAGCGGCTATTTATCAGTGCGATATATGAATCTAGCTATTGGTTTAATGTTTTTACCAATAAGATGGTCAATATTGAAACACTTTTTTGTAATCGGATAAACTTTGAATTTGTTCCAAAAGTGTATTAATATATTTCTTCAAGAGAATTACTGTTGAATATCTTTTAAAACTATTCAAATGACATGAAAATATGCAAAAGTTTGTATTCATTCAACAAAGAGTTTTATACAAATATTCGTTGTTTCCGATTAAAATGTCATTTCAAAAAGGTTTTGACTTTCTAATTTAAATCGTATTCACAAGATATGCAAATCTTAATCAATGTGACTATTCCGACCATCATTTTACAGCTGCGTTCATGTAAAATAGAATGTTTGAATTGGTTGTTTATATAGTTTAACCCCCTTGTTTAATGTTCCATTTTACGTGAATACGACTGTAATGACTAGATTTGAAATGGTTTGAATGGTTTGTATAACTAAAATAAAGATATCTCAACACAAGTATACCGTTATCTAGTCACACATAGCACAGCTCGAGTTTATTTCAATTAGGAATGCCGACTCGAGTTGATTGTCATTAAGCAACTACTTGTTACCAGATCGAGTATCTGGTTTACGTGATCGTTTAAACGGACTAGTACTGGCACCAAAATCAGTTGGGATAGACAAGGCAGAGTCTGCAATAAGCTCGACAGAAAGTAGTCCCGCCGTATGCGAGCTCTTGTGACAAGGTTTAGACGATTCTTCACAAACTGGCTTTTTTCCCAAAGAGTCGTGATTATAGTCGAGCGCAGACTTATCCAACACCATGCCTTCTGATTGATTGTCCAAATGCTCTTTGTGAGTTTTGAGAAATAAAGTAGAATGACGTTTGGGGGAAACACTGCAAGACCGTTTTTTTGAATCTCTTGTTGGAGTGACATTTTGTAAAAATACGTTGTTGCTGTCATCACAAATTGGAATAATTGGCGATTCAATTCCAGACCCAGAATCAAAGACTGAAATAGCAGATGCATTGTTTGTTGTATCCAAATCACAAACCATTTCCTTTTCAATGCCTTCAAGCTGATGATCTTGACCCAGTTCGAGATTGACTTGCTCGAGGAGTTTACGGAATGCGCGTTGAACATATCCAGATTTTTCGTATATTTTGGAATATACACGAATAGTGAGTTCTTGGCAGTGTTCTGGAATGAATGAAGAAACTTGACCTTTGCAAAGCGATATAGATTCATCGTTTCCGTATTTTCGATAGAATCGGATGGATTCAAGTGGATGTCGATCTTTTGTAGCATAGTTGAGTTTAAGCCATTGAACAATAATATCGTTGGCTACCAGGGTAGAGTATGGTGAGGATCTTTCAACTGATTTGCACAGCTCCAAGTGGCATTGAACAATACACTCGGGAGAAATGTGTAGTTTTGTCAAGCGTTGTTGAAGTGCTTGAGGCACAATCACTTGATCTGCCAAACGATAAAGATCTCGCTTGCGCATCCGTAATAACGTTTCTCGAGAAGCTTCAAGTTCTGGACAGGTTGATCGTTCAATCTGACCCAGTATAGAATCATTTAAATGAACATATCTTTCCATATCATTGATGGCACTGGTGATGTTCAAATAAGGATCAGCAGCAACCAGTGCATCTTGAATCATATACTCGATTGCAGCAGATACTTTATGTGTATATACTCTTTTAAAAAGTGAGTAGCGAGTATGGAATAACTAAAAAATGAATAGGTGGTTGATCAGATATAGGACATCAAGTTTAGATAACTGCAAGAAAACGTGCAGTTTAAACATGAACAGATTTAAACTAATAAAAGCATTTACCTCGCAAAGATTCATGGCTTCTTTTTGATGAAAACATATTTGACCATCAACTACTCTTGCAAATTTAATGAGACGGCCAGCATCTAGACTAGACTTTAGTCCAATATGTAGCGTGTCTCGTTGAATATAATCAAACTAACATTCACAAAATATCAATTATTAAATGAACAATAATAACTCGAGTATAAAGAATGAGTAAAAAAGATGAAGCAGTGCATACCTTGTCAACATCGATTGAATTGCGCTGATTTGCGACAATTTCAAACAAATAAGTTTTTTGAGCTTGTGGATATGATCCACGGGGAATTCCGTGAATAAGATCCTTGATGAATTCAAGCTAAAAACAACAGAATGAATAGATGCTGATTAGCAAAGCATTTCAAAAACAATCGAATCTTTAGATCAGTACCTCTTGGTGTGTAATATCTACAGAATTATCCTTGACCAAATATTCCAGCATATCTTCAGAGCCTTGCTCATGGGACCATTTTAATTCAGGATGAGTTATAGCGACAATTCCTGAATCGAATAAATGCGAGAAAGGACCATGTCCAAGATCGTGACAGAGACCAGCAAGTCGGACACATTTGATATCATTATCAGTGATTCCTAGTTCAGGCTGTTTGTAGCGTAAATGCTGAATCATTTCATTTGCAAGATGGCATACACCGATTGAATGCTCAAAGCGAGTATGAGTTGCACCTGAATGAAAGTGAATTAATCCATGAAATCATAAATTAAATCAAGACTGAATACAATCAAGACGAATGCAATCAGGACATTACCAGGAAAAACAAAGCAAGCTGCTCCAGTCTGTTTGAGTTCTCTAAGTCGTTGAAATTGTGGTGTGTCAATGACTTGCATACAGACACCATCCAGTTCAATGTGACCATGAACAGGATCATTGAATACTTTGGAAGTTTTTAATGAATCTTGAAAATTGGTTATGGATTCAGCAGATGCAATGAAAGAATTCAATGCATGATTGTTTTGCTTGAGCTTAGAGCTGAAAGTACTTTCAGATGAATAGTAAATAGGTTGAGAATCCATGATGTACAGTGACAAATTTACTCGAGAGTTTACTCAACAACAATAAATTTACTCGAAAGTTTACCCAACAATTTTGATGCAAATTTGCACATAAAAATATGGGCAAATATTTGATATTAATTTGGCCATATTTTTATACTGAAATTATTTATGGCCAAATTCAACGCAGTTTCAAACTCGCTTCTCGACGACTTCAGCTGCTCTTGTTATCAACCATTTGCCATTCATGCTGCAGCATTGCCTGGAGCGGCTTCTCGCTGAAAGCGTAAAGTTCAAGGACTTGCGTGAGTCTGTACAAGAAGCGTTGGAAACTTTTGCTGCTCAGCAGAAAGCATTGCAGCTGGCTGGGGATGACCCTTCCAAGATAAGGTAAACCATTGTAATATCGATGATTGCACTGTTGTGTAGTGTTGCTGCTATTCGCACTGTTTGATTTCCTCGATTCTTGCTGCTTGGATTTGTGTTGTAATCTCTGTTCTGGAGTGTCGGAAAAGATTGACGATTGCTAGATCTTGCTGGACTGCGCTATTCCGACTCTTATCAAATGAATATGCTATTCCCACTTTTTTCAATATTGTTCAAACTTGTATAAATACTCTTTATCTTGGATTCAATCTAGTCTTTGCGTTATTCAAAAACCTGGTTTATTCTACTTTTTATCTGAATTGAAGACTTGGAATCGCTCTACTAATACTGTCATCACTTTCTATCCATGTTGCTGAAATATAATTCTATAGTGCTGATCGGTATTGGAATCCTTTCAAAATCGCTTTAAATCCTTCAAAACCAGTCAAAATTCGTGAAACCGCTCTCAACTTGCTTCAGAAACTCATTGCGCATAATCTGCTTCGTGGTGCCCTTCCAGGAAATCCCATTGATTCGGAAAATGATATTGTTGCTACGTCTCAGCCAACTTTTTTTGGTCGTAGATTCTCTATTTCTCATTTATTTAAACCAGATGATCCTCCATCTGCTGCTGCACCGCAACTTCAAAAACAGCCTGCATCACTTTCATCTCCTACTCATCCTACGGACGTATCTGTCGCTGAATCTGAAAATGCAAATAGTGATACGCCAGCTCTTGAAACTGGCACTCAATATATTGAATCTGCATCAACCTCATTTAATCATCCAGTAAACTCTCCAACAAAATCTGCTGCTGAGCTTGCATCTGAAACTTCTATTGGAAAACAACTGCTTCAAAATACATTTCTAATGGATGAAATTATTTCTACAGTCATATCCTCAATCAACAACCAACAATCAAATGCTGCAGAAGAAGCTCTTCAGCTTCAGGTGTTACAGGTTTTATTAACTGCAGTGACATCTACCGAGTGCGAAGTCCATGAGCGATCCCTTTTACGTGTAGTTCAAATTTGCTTTGCAATTCATGCCAATGGACAGAAAAACTCTGTAAATGAAGTGACTGCAAAGGCATCACTTACTCAAATGGTCAACTTGATATTTTCTCGAATGGAGCGATACGCCGATGTGCTCACCAAGGCTTTGGAATCAGGTGCTCCCTTGACAAAACTTCCTCGAACTTCGTCTGTGATTGATCTGGAACCCTATGCTGTTTCCAAAATGGATACTACTTTTGAACAGCCTCAGGGAAGTTCCGAAGGTTTAGCCATAACTACCACATTAGCGGTTTCTGATGAATCTTTGCCAGTCATTCAGACCATTAAAGATGAAAATGAGTTTAAATCTGTTGAAACTCGGTCACTTGATGCCGACACAGAGCTGACGCTTGAATCTGAAGCTGTTTCTGGTTCCCAGAATACT